TGCCTCCATCTTCTTTTGATCCACCTTAATCCCTCACTAGACACCACCTGGCCCAAAAATGCCTCCTAAGACGGGGGAAATCCTTCATAAAGTGCTTAAGATCACCACACTTAAAACAACCTCTTAGCGGGCGTGGACGCTGGAACAGAGTCTGAACCGTACGACTAGAATAACCTTTGTAAGCACCCCGTGTAGGAGGTGCACTGGAAGACGACTGTGCAAAATGAGTACCCTGAGGTCCCATAATAGCTAGGGCACCACGAGCGGCCTAAAGCGCTGGCTGAACCGGTCGACTGATAAAAACTCTTCCAAGATGAACCTTGCCCCCAAATCCTCCCACTACTAGAAATTCGGACAAAACCGTCTAAAATAACCAACCAAAGTTGGTCGCTAATGGCCAATAACCGTCCAAAACGCGATAATTTATGTGTGGACGGTATTTTGAAGGTCGGAAGGGCATACCGACCAAAGTTGGTCGGTAATTTAATTATGTAATTACAAAATGCACCATCTGGAAATCAAATCGGGGTCTTACTGTGGTAGGGATACTATTCTACCACTAGACCATTGGTGCATTTTATTTTAAGACTGTCTTTTATTTCATTTATACTCTTTAATTGTATTTTCGCACAAAAATAACCGACTAAAGTTGGATGGTTTTATTAAAAAATAAAATTACCGACCAAATTTGGTCGCTTTTTTAAAATGACCGGCCGAATTAACCGACCAATTTTGGTAGATTTTTTTAATATTAATTTTAATTTAATTTAAATGAAAAACCAACCAAAGTTGGTCGTTTCTTGAAAATAAATTTCGCGGGACTCAAAAATAGTTTTCCGCATTTTTGCACCAATGAAAACCGACCAAAGTTGGTCGGTTTTGTAAAAAAAATCAAAAAATAAAATATTTTAAAAATCGACCAACTTTGGTCGGTTTTTTTGTCGGTTTTTTGACCGACCAAAATTGGTCGGTCGACCTTGGTTGGTTTTTGCCGAATTACTAGTAGTGTCCAGAACCACGAGGCCTTTTGGCCTCCATATCTTCCTTCTCCTGACCACGAATATGCTCTAACCTCCTGGAAATCTCCACAACCTGCTTGAGTGGAGTATCAATCTCTAGCTTCCGTGCCATACTGAATATAATACCATAGCTGAGCCCATCGATAAATGTCAGGACTCGATCTCTGAATGCACAAACCAAAGCAGGTGCATGGCGGGACAACTCGCAGAACCTGGTGGCATACTCCGACATCTTCAAAGTCACTTGACATAGCTGCTCGAACTTTGTCCCTTGACGCAACTGCATTAGCTGGCCTACCCTCTTCATAAGCCTGCCACAACCTATATGATGCCCCTAACGGCTAAAATGTAGTAAAGGCGACTTATCTAGAAAACCCTGTGCATCCTCAGTAACTGCACCACTGTAAGTAGGAGGGTCATATTTCTTGAACCTCTTAAGTCTCCTCCGTTCCTCCTTTGATGCCTCAGGCCTAAACCCAGTCTGAACCACGATAACGGGCTTTGCTGTTATAACATCCAAAACCTGATCAATATGGACCCGCAGCTATAGAGTATGTGTGGCGGGAGTCTGAGCTCCTCCCCCAGCCTGAGAAGTAGCCGGTACAACTATGATCAATCCCACCTGAGTGAAGGTACTAAGCATGCTCAGAAACTGTGACAAGGTCTCCTAGTGTCCAAGAGTAGTAGCAGGCGTCTTAGGTGTCGGATCCCCATTTGGAGCTACTGGTGGATCACCGGTCGCTGCTCTAACAGGTGTTCTAGCTATAGAACGTATGCCTCCTCGACCTCTACCTCGACCACGATCTCTCGCGGCTCTAGCAGGGGAAGCATGTGTCTTCTCATTTGATCTGCTAGTGCATTTCCTCACCATCTGTGAGATAATTGAAAGACAAAAGCTCAAACCTGGATATCAATAAACCCGCACGAAAAGGAATGAAAGAAGTTAAATTTCCTAATAGTATCGTAGCCTCTCGAATATAAGTACAGACGTCTCTGTATCGATCCGCAACACTCTACTAAACCTGGTTGTGACTCGTAGAACCTATGAACCTAGAGCTCTGATACTAACTTGTCACGACCCAAAATCTTTCTTTAGGAGTCTTGATGCTACCTAATCTCCAAACTAGGTAAGCAGGTCTCTCAAAATTATTTAAAGCAATCAAAGAATTAAATAACGAAAATAGAGTTTAACATACAAGCGGAAATAATAGTAATACAGGTCGTAATGGCAAACAGTCAATATAATACCCAGAAGTAGGTGGTACAAAGTCAAAAGCTCTAACTGAATACACAAGATTAATATTAAAATATAGTAATGTCTGAAATACATAAACATGAGAAGTGAAACAAGAGGGTGACTCCGTGGCCTACGGTCAGATAATGCTGGAATACCTTGAAGTCTCTGGTGTGTGCTATGCCTCACTTCCGATCAGTCCGGTCCGAGGTACCTAGATCTGCACAAAATGATGTGTAGAAGCATAACTTGAGTATACCACAATCGTACCCCAGTAAGTATCAATATAAACCTCGGTGGTGTAGTGATAAGGTTCAAGTCATGTGATACTTACTAGAAAAATAACCTGTGCAATGAATATACCGAAGAAAACTGATAATTGAAATATAACTGAAAACAGTATTCACAATCCCTTTTAGAAAATGTAATAACAACTCAGTGTAGTAAAACTCATCTTTGATCACGAAATGTCAAATAAAGGTAAGGCATGTGATAAAATGTCAAATGATGTCATTAACTCAAGTAAGTGCTACACGTAATCTTTCAGATACAATTATGAGAATGAAACATCAGTCCCGTCTTAACACAATCACAACAACAACAAAGCACCCCGAAATATCACATAACAACATCAAATGCCACCCTTATTTCGCCGCATGTGCATATAGCCCTTATTATGCCACGCGGGAAGCCCGAGATAATGTCACCCTTATTTCGCCCCATGCGCACAACCATAGAAAAAGAAATCGCACGGAAAAACCTCGTGTTGACACCCCAATCAATCCACTCAACATGTCTACAAGTGCCACGGTACCACAAAACAATAAATGCCAAGTGCCACTATATCAAAACAATAGTACCAAATTGTCATCAAAGCATAAGTCACAACTTTCCACAACCATGCACGAGGACATATTAAATAATCATAAAAGTGGAGGCATATATATCTATGGCTAAGCTAATGAAATGAACATGATCAAATATTCATAAACCGATTTTACAAGTTTTATATAAAGTTCATTATCACATTAAGGCATTAATAGCCTACGGTCTATTCCGATCAAAACCATACATAGTGCCCGTTTAAATGATCATCATGTCATGTACACGTCATTCAATATATCATAGAATCAGGGCTAGCACCTAAGGGGTATTTCTCCCACACAAAGTTAGGCAAAATACTTACCTCAAGCAAGCTAAACAGTCCACTACCAAGCCCTTTCCAAGAAAATCCAACTCTGAACAGTTCGAATCTAGCCAAAATAATATAATATCATAAATAAAAGCCATAGGAAGAAATTCTTGATAATAAAGATTCGATCTTGAATAAAAATTAAAAAGTCCACTAAAAAAGTCAACCTCAGCCCCGCACCTCGATACACGACAAACTCACAAATTCTGAACATCATTCTAGTACGAGTCCAACCATACCAGGATCATCTAATTCCGACTTTAAATCGACTTTCAAATCATCAATTTATATTTTTGAAAAGTTTTTACTAAAATCCCCAATTTCTTCGATTCAAATCACTAATCAAACACTAAAATTGAGGTTGAAATCATGAAATAATAACAAATCCGAGTAAAAAATACCTACTCTATCCAAATCGTGAAAATCTCCTCCAAAATAGCCCGAAATTGAGCTCTCTAACTCAAAGTGTGATAAAAAAAATAAAGTCCTCGTCTAAGCTTTATTTTGCCAGGTCTTTTTGCTTCTATGGGAAAACAGTCGTATTTGCGGAAAAATATGCGCAGATGTAGTCTTCACTTAAGTCCCTCAATCCCGCTTCTGCAGTCCACTAGCCGCACCTGCGGCGCTGCTCCTGCGGTTCAAGGATCGCTTCTGCCACAGTACAGATCCCAGATCGATTTCCAGATGGTGCATTTTTCAATTACATAATTAAAAATACCAACCGACTTCGGTCGATTTTTTCGATAATTTCTTTTTGGAATTTAATTGACCGACCAAAATCGGTCGGAAAATGCCGATGGAAGTCGGTCGGTGGGCTCTACCGACCAGACGATTACCGGCCACCATGAATCGGTTGGTTTTCGGATGATTTTTACCAATTACCGACCAACATCGGTC